AGGAGGAGGAGGAGGAGGAGGAGGAGGAGGAGGGGGAGGAGGGGAGGGAGGAGGAGGAGGAGGAGGAGGAGGAGGAGGAGGAGGAGGAGGAGGAGGGGGAGGAGGAGGAGGAAGAGGAGGAGGAGGAGGAGGCGGAGGAGGAGGAGGAGGAGCAGGAGGGGGAGGAGAAGGAGGAGGAGGAGGAGGAAAAGGAAGGGGAGGAGGAGGAGGAGGAGGAGGAGGAGGAGGAGGAGGAGGGCGCCGCGTGTGGTACGGGTGTGGACGAACGTGTTGCTGGCTGTGTGTGGAGCGCCTCTTTTCCATCACCCTGTCCCTCTGCGAGGAGACGAGCGAGCGAGAGCCCGCCCTCCTTCCTGGAGCCACGGTCCTCTACCCCTTCCTGGCCGTTTCGCTTTCCCGTCAGGAACGTTTGCTTAGCATGTCGCTGGGGCCGCCGCCGCGACACGCTAAGCCAAAGTTCCTCACCGTAGCACCCGCCCACCCACCCCAGAGGCGCTGAAAGGTGCAGCAATACGCTTCCATATTGATCGGTTGGACCACGAAGAGGGGAAGAACCGCCTGTCGCGTCTCTTGCCCCAGCCGCAAAGTTTTGTGCAAGCTTCGCGGCACATCGTCGACGAGCTGCCTCTCGGTTGGAAAGCCCGCCGGCGTCCTCGTCGATAGGTGTACGGAAGTCCGCGCTAGCCCCCCCGGGCGCTCCAGCTTATTCAATTGTTTCATCCTCCTCCTTCTCTTTCTCCTCCTCCTCCGCATCCTCATCCTTTCCCTCCCTGCTCCCTCACTCGAACGGTATATCCTCTTGCCTCTCTTGCTTATCATCCTGTCCTTGCCGTTGCCGCTTTGGATATCAAGGATCCTTTACCGCGCCCGCTTTACATAGTCATACTCGCTCTACACGCTATAGATCGGTTTACCGAAAACCATTTTCACCTTCCTACACCCTAATGTCTAGATGGTAGCAGAGCAGGTTCGCCCCTGCTCCAGTGCGACGGCCGCCATGTCCCACTTCGGTTCGATGGCCATGGTTTCCAACCCCCATCGCTCTACATCGCGACGCTTGCAGGAAACGCTATTCATGTGCACGTCAGGGCTGGACCAGCCAATCCGCAGGAACACTACGTCGTGGCGTTCTACATGCTGCTCTACATCCCGCTCTACATCCGCCTTCAGCATCATCGCCTTCGTGCAATTCTCCCCGCTCGTTGCGGTAGGAGAAGTTACTCTAGGGTCCGTCGGGGCCTCCGCCCATCCGCCAGGAACAGTGACCGAGAACGTGCACAACCAGTACCTCATCAAGGGCAGCAGCACCAAGATCTACAAAGACCGCTTTGCGACCCATCCTGGGCATACTGGCCAGGCAGCTCGCGGACCCCAAGTTGTCAATGCCCCCGCCCGGGGGGGTAGCTTCACGTGTTACCCAGTTGCTCGACACAACGTTCACATCTGCGGTGTCAGAGCAAAGTCCTGAGTTTCTTGGGACTGTGTCTCGAGAGTTCTGAGAAAACCCAGCAAAGCAGAGGCATCCGGTCACTGCGTCGCCGGTGCCGGACGGGGATGCAGCTGGGAGTACGACGACTGCGACACCACCATTCCGAGGCACCACAATTCGGAACCCGACCTTTCGTTTTACCTACTCAAACCCGCCAGCCGGCCAGGACGGGCTCCCGATGTGCACTCCTCTAGACGATCGTGCATTTGCCGGCGCTCACTACAGTGACCACGCGACGTCCGATGAGCACGCCCGTGATTGTGTCGCGCGATGCTCTGAACACCGTGAGCATTACAGTGACACGACACGAGCAGACGCCCAATACATTGACAAAGGAACCCATCCGGGGCAAGTATCCTCGGCGACCCAAGCAACGCCGCTTGAGGACCCCTGGCCTCCAGCACCTTTACGACTGGCTGAGGGACGACACACCCGATGGAAGGCCACCAGAGCCGGCATGCGTGCCATCGCCAGGTGCAACGCCTGCATGGACGCAGGTGGTGGCAGCTGCAACACGCGCCACCTCCGCAATTGGGGGCCCGAGCACCAGTCTCGCGTTCGTTTTTTTCAGAAATGGGCGATGATCTGGTCAGCGGCGATCTCGGACCTCAACGAGTTTCGCCAGTTGCCTACGCCTCGTCACGCCTTGCCGGCATGGCGCGCGAGAAGTCATCCGCCTCTTCCTCAACATACGCCTCATCAGCACCACCATCATCATCATCATCACCATCATCACCCGTATCACCATCATCATAATCATCGTGATCACTGTCGTCATCACCATCATCACCACCATCAGCATCATCCTCATCAGCATCACCAGCATCATCATCCTGATCCTAACCTTTTCCTCCCCGTCCACACGCCCTCCCCCTCGATTCTCCCCTCGCCATTCCCTGCCCGTTACTGTTCTCCCCCCTCCCCCATGTTCCTACTTGTTCCTCCTTCCATTACTGCCTCTTCCTCACTCCCCCCCTTGTCCGCCATCCTCTTTGCCCTCCTCCCCATCAGGTCCGCGAAGCCCGCAGTCATCACGCCGACGAACACCCCACAGGCGACCATGCTGACCATGGAGCCCTTGGGCGGGGCAGAGACCACCCCAGTAGTTCGACGGCGCTTGGCCAGGCCAGCGGACGCGTGCACACAGTCCCCCGAGGTGGCCCCCGCTGGCCTCAACGGGCCCCTTGGTAGCGGCGGCGCCCCCTCTGGGCGTTGAGACCGCCCTGGGCTACCCCTGGGGCCTGTCGAGGCCAGCCAAGACCACCTGGGGGGAGATTTGTGCGCAGCCTCAGGCCTTGTCATTCGGCGCTCCCCCCCAGAAAGGAGGGGAGGGAGAACGGAGCAGGGAGGGAGAAGGGGAGGGGAGGGGTGATGGAAGGGAGGTAAGGGAAGGGGAGATGGAAGGGAGGGGAGGAGGAGGGTATTGTCGCTGGCCTGCTTCGCTGTCTTCGTTGGTCACAGCTGAAGCAGTAGCGCTCAAGGAAGCCGTGGATTTCATTTGGGTGCTCTAAATTGCCTGCGCCAACCTTGGGAAGCAATTGTCGACCCCCTTTTGGATGAAGCTATATCATCGCTTCTCGCCCCGAACCCTTCAGCGCGGGATCCCACCAAGATCCTCATAGGATCCCAGCAAGACCCCAATCAGATTTCAATTAGGGCCCAACGCAATCGGATTCCCATAGGGTTCAAAGACGCCGTCTTGGGGCCTCTCTTGGGTTGTCGTACTCTTATTCCCTCCACCCCCTTTTCCCCCCCCGTGGAACTGATTGATTCATTAGTTTGCCGTGGAGCTAACGATATCGCTCGGCGGTTCCCCCCCTCGGGAATTCATGACTTTATCCTTTGAAGTGCTACGAATGACGCCGAGGGGGGGGGAATTGCTTTCCGCGTTTATATGTCAGCCTTGGCATCGCTCGCAGGCTGGTGCCAACGTGCTGTACGCCCTCTGCAAGAGAGGAGGGGGGCCGCGAAGGCCCTTGGAGACAGGCCGTCACGACGAGGCGAAAGGCGGGGCCCCACGGCTTCCCAAGGGGGGTCCGCTTTCGCCAACCGCCGCCCCTCGCTGCAGTTATCGTTCCGCTCGGGAGCCGGCCTCGAGGCACAGACGGCGGCGATGTACACCGGCATTGGCCGCGCATGGCGTGGCGGTGCTTCCTCTCCTGGCCACAAGGTTGGCCTCCAAGTTTGCACCTGGAACGGCGCACGGCGAGGCATTTGGTAGCCGACAGGGGTAAGGCGTGCGTTGCCCGATGTGAGTATGCCAGGTTCAGTTCGATCCGCACATGACGTCGACTCCGCACAGCTCCCAGGGCTTTCGTCGCGTCACGGGTCACTGTTGTACGTGTCTCAGCTCGCCCTCGGGGGGGGGAAACAGCATCGGTTTCTGATAACCGATCTGATTTGCAAGCGTTGGCGACACAGCCTTTGCAATCTCCTCGAAACTGCCCGCTCTCGAGGTGTATTTCTGTTCGCGGGTTTGGATATGTTCCCCTTGCTTGCCCAAATTGGTTGGCAGTGATACTACCCTCTGGAGCCCATCCAGACCCTGCCCCACCAGGCTTCCCACGATTGCATGTTCAGACCGTTGTTTGCCAGAGCTGCAAGGGTGCTCAAGTCAATTGCGAACTCGACTACCTAAGTGATAGCAGCATTCCAGCCTAAAATTTCGCCCTGGCTCGCCTGTGCGTCGCTGATCGGGAGAAGAAGGAGGAGCCTGTGATTGCAGTTGAAGGACGCGACGGAGCAGAGGGCTTCTGCTTGCGACATGTGGACTCGCAGTGCTGACACGCGGGCGAGGATCCGATGCAACTGCGACCAGCGCGGCCGCATGTGCTGTGCGCGCAGGCCTTGTTACGAAATCTGCCCCCCCCCTCCCCTCTGGCAGCCGCCGCCTCGAGAACATTCAGGAGGGACAAAAACACACAGACACAATTAATCGTCGATTCCCCAGAAAATATCGGAAAATATGGGAAGTGGGGGGGAAGACAGAAACCCAGAAAATATGTGAAAATATTTGGAATTCGTTTATTTGTGTGTATTTATGTGTGTGCCCCAGGGCCCCTTCAAATATTCTTCGAGGTCCCCCGCCTTCCAGAAGGACGTCCTCCCTCGCTCTGCCCCCCCCTTCTGGGCGCCTCGAGCTGCCCCCTGCCCCCCCCCCCCCCGTCCCCCCCTAACATATGACCGTGGTCTTGTCAACCAGCTGACCCCTACCTTGGCATGCATCGCTCGGACGTGTGCATTTCTCCCTCGGCGAGGACCATCGAGGAGCATCCTTGATCATTTGGCGAACAAAAACACGCACGAGACCGAAAAAAACACAGGGGATGGACGTCCGAGCGATGGCGAGATACCATAGATCGGCACACCAATGCTTTATGAAAATGCAGCACCGTCTTTTTGTCGCAGCCTGGCAGCCAGGCACAGCACGGCACATCAATCGTTTCGCATTCCAGAGACTGAACGCGGCACAGTACCGCACGGCAACTTGTCCGCCTTCTTTAATCCAGGCAGGGCACGGCATCTGTCTCGCATTCTAGGAACCAAGCACGGCACAACATAGCAAGGCATGCGGGCACCGCACGGCACATTCGTCGCATTTTAGGAACCAGCCACGGCACGGCAAGCACGGCTTTTGAGAACGGCACGGCAAGCGGCCATGGCACGGCCAGCCATTTTCCGACTGAACACGAGAATTACCCTCACCTTCTTGCAGCAACACATACTTTTTACAGCACTCGCCGTTTGGGGCAAAAGGCGCCTGGGCTTCCAGGCGTTCCGAAGCCCTCCCAGGTGTTCCCCTGCGTTCCCCGGGCGCGCCCCGCGCGCTCGCGAGTGTTCCCAGGCGCTCTGGCTGGTTCCGACAGACCCTCGTGCGCTCCGAGGCCATCCCTGGCCTGGACCCCGCGCAATGGCGAGACGCACTGGAGGCGCACTCGATTGAATCAGCGCCAAGCACAGCACTCGCCGTTTAGGGCAGACTGCGGTGGGACTCTCAGGCGTCCCGAAGCGCTCCCAGGTGCCCCCCTGCGCCCCCGGGCGCTCTCAATAGTTCCGAGCCTCCCGTGCGCTCCGAGGCCTTCCTGACCTGGACCCCCCCCGCCCCCCTCCGCCAAGGCCCGAGCTGCCTGCTCGGCCCCGCCGCCCACGCAGGAGCGCGGGCGCGCGCGACCCCTCCGACGATCCAGCCGACCTCTTCGTCCTCGCGGCTCGGCGAGGGGCCCTGCCGCCCGAAAAAGGGGCCGCGTGGCCCGCCGCACCGCGCCCCGGCAGCTCCGGACGAGGTCGCCGGGCTGGAGCACGGCGGCGACCCCAGGCGCCCCAGGCAACGCTGCTGGGCGAGGCGCGAGGAGCGCCCCGCTGGTGCTCACACGGGTTGCACGGGTTACACGGGAGGGGGAGGAGGAGGAGGAGGAGGAGGAGGAGGAGGAGGAGGAGGAGGAGGAGGAGGAGGAGGAGGAGGAGGAGGAGGAGGAGGAGGAGGAGGAGAGGAGGAGGAGGAGGAGGAGGAGGAGGAGGCGGAGGAGGAGGAGGAGGAGGAGGAGGAGGAGGAGGAGGAGGAGGGGGAGGAGGAGGAGGAGGAGAGGAGGAGGGGAGGAGGAGGAGGAGGAGGAGGAGGAGGAGGAGGAGGAGGAGGAGGAGGAGGAGGGGGAGGAGGAGGAGGAGGTGGCGCAGGACTGCACGGTGTTCACACGTGGTCTGCGGCGCTCTCGGCCGCGCACGCGCCGCCCGAGCGCGCCGCGCGCGCGGAGGGCCCGAGCGAGCCCTGCGCGCCTGGAGGGCCTCGGGCTGCTGCAGCGTCGCGCGGGCCGCGGGGCGCCCCTGGCCCGGCGGGGCTCGTCCGCTGGCCGGCGCAGCGGGGCACGGCGGTCATCTCGGCGGGCGTGGCGCCCGCGCGCAGCGCGGCCCACCTTCCAGCAGAACGCAGCGCCTCTTCCCCGTGGGGCACTGGACGCCGTGGCGGAGGTGGGCCGCGGCCAGCGCCTCTGCGGTTGAGGCTTCCGGGCGCCCGAGGGTGCGAGTGAAGCCGGTGGGGGACCTACGGGGCGAGTCGGCACGACCAGCAGCAGAGCCAGATTGTGCCATGACAGGTGCGTGCTGGCGTTTCTTCTCCTCCTCTCCCCTTCATGTTCCTCCTCTTCCTCTTCCTACTCCGCCTAGTCGGTCTCCTGCTCTTCCTCCTCGTTTTCGTTTCCCTTCTCCGCCCCTCCCTCCAGGAGGCGGCCCAGCAGCAGGGCCTGATAGGGGTTGCGCAGCAGCCACAACAGCAGCAGCTGGTCGGGAGCCAGCCACAGTTTGCCCAGCAGCAACCGCAGTACGCGCAGCCGCAGCAGCAGCCGCAGTTCGCGCAGCAGCAGCTGCAGCACCCGCAGCAGGCGACGGGTTGCTGCCACGTTGCTTGCGACTGCTGTGCGCCCCGCCGCCACATTCCACCATGTGAGGTTCCTCCTCCTCCTCGCTATCCCCTTTTTTCTCGCCGCAGTCATCGTCGATTTCATCTGAATCGGCAGTTTCACCATCTGTGTCAGTATCAGCAGCAGCGGCATCATCATCATCATCATCATCATCATCATCATCATCATCAGCAGCAGCAGCAGCATCATCATCGACATAATCATAATATTCATCATCATCATCATCATCATCATCATCATCATCATCATCATCATCGCCGTCGTCATCGTCATCGTCATCAACAACATCACCATCATCATCATCATCATCATCATCATCAGCATCAGCATCAGCATCATCATCATCATCCGCATCAGCACCGTCATTATCACCGTCTCACCATCCTCATCCTCATCCTCCTCGTTCTTCTTCTTCTCTTCCTCCTCCTCCTCCTCCTCCTCCTCCTCCTCCTCCTCCTCCTCCCCGTCACCATTTTGGTTCAAGGGGCCTGCTCTTGAGCTTCCCAACCTCGCTCAATCGCGGTCAGCAAGTGGCCATGTTGCAACCACGGTATTTGTTCAAGTGCTTCCGTTTCTTTTTCCAGTCGCGTTCGCGCCATGGTTTGGCGCGGCAAGGTTTCCTGGCGGCGGCTGGCGACGTGGAGGCGGCAAGAAGCAAGCTGCTGACCGTCCCCACAAGGAGTACGATACATGCTCCGAATGCCAGCACTGGGAGTTCAAGTCCTACTGCACTTGGTGTTGCACGAAATGTGGTGGACAGTGCATCTCGCGATTGCAAGAAGGAGCTCGCGCCACTCAGCCTCGCAACGCAGGAGGAGGTAGAGGAGTTCCAGCAACAGCATATCCCCATGTGCTCGCGGCTGCTGCAGTATTGTTCGCTGCACGGCCCGATATGCAAGAACTACTTGGTGGCATGGTTCCCCAACAGGCTGCTGGTGAAGAGGAGTGGACGCAGGCCCAGTATGCTGATGCTGCGCGTCATGAACACACGCAGCTCACCAGGGACGTGGAGAACAGCGCCAAAGCGGTGCGCCTCACGTTCCAAAAGGTATTCCACCACTCGACGAAGGTCCAGAAACTTGAGGAGGCCCTTCGTCGGGAGGCTCACGACAACCTGCAGCAAGCTGAACAGCAATCTCGGGAATCTGAACAACAGACAAGAGATGCCGATGACAAGAGGGCCCCCGCTCTCGAAGGGCGGCCTGGATCGACGCCAAGCGCCAGGAGCGGGCGCAGGCGGCCGCAGCGGCCAGGGCGGCCCAGGAGGCCAACGCCGCCCAGGCGCCGCGGGCGCCGATGGCGGGGCCGGCCGCCACCGCCGCAGGCGCCGCCGCCCCTGGCGGCGGCCCCGCCGCCGCTGACGCGCCTGGCGGCCGCGCCGCGGGGGCCCCTGGAGCGGCTCCAGCGGCGACGCTTGCCGAGCCTGCTGGTGGCCGCGGTGCGGCGCCCCCTGGAGCGGCCCACGGGGGAGATGCTCCGGCGCCAGCTCCTTTCAATAGCGAGGTACCTGAACTGCACAGGATGGATGCTGCACAGCGTTGCGAGCATTGCGCAGTAGCAGTATCCCACTTGGCTGGGCGCAGCAGTTCGCGGATATGCAGAAGCAGATCCACGATAGCGCCGAGTGCGACGTCGGTAGCGACGCTGGATCTGAAGCAGAAGACCTTCCCCAAGAGCGCGCTGATGAACTTGCTAGTCTCAGGAAGCGTTCTCTGGATGGGGGCCCTCGAGGATGCCGACCAGACCCGCGCGGAGGAGCTCATGTTTCGGAAGGCCCGATCGCGCTCTTCCAGCGCCAGCCGCGCCCAGGCCAGCGCGGGCGAGAGCTCCAAGGACCTCTTCAAGGCCGCGGTCGCCCAGATGCCGCCGCAGCAGGCTCAGTTATCTAGGCTAGGCTTGCGCCTCCTTTCTTGCAATGCCACTAGCTGGAGTGCTCCGGCTAAATGTTTCGCCCACGTTCGCCGAACACCCCCACCTCCCCGCCACCTGAAGTCGGCCACGCGCGACGCGGCCACTGCTGGGCGGCGCCTCCATTGTTCCCTTGCCTCGCCTTCTCCCGGGGGCAGGGCCCACGGCGGCGTCGGCGATACAGATAAGAGATGCAGGATCTGGCAAGGGCTGGATGTCCCCAGAGCTCCGGGCCCAATCCTGCGCGACGGCCGCACGCGCAGTCCACGCGGTCGCTGAGCTGGGGGCCTCGGGGGTGGGAAGCATCCAAAAGGTGAAGCAAATCAGTGCGTTCGCCGATACTTTGAGTACCCCGCGGCCCCCGATAGAGGATTGCAACATTGACCTTGAAGATGACTCGCGCGAGGGCTGAACCACCCCGGGGATGTGAGTTTACCTGGAGCCATGGTCGTGGATCCCTTATTGATTATATTTTTGCTCGCGACACATTGGCGCCTCATCTTCAAGCGAGCAAGGACCAGGCGCCCCCGCCTCAAACATTGCGCCGCCTCGAAGCGCGTTTGCCACTTGCGGCGCTACTGGAGGAGATGTCCCAGAAAGTTCAGCCTAAAGTACTGCTTGCCTTCGAAGGTCCCAAGCCCACCTGGCCCGAGCATTTCTCCGTCGAACGTCGCGCGCGGCGAGGGCCCAAAAGAAGCTGAGGACCCACGACTAGGGCGCTGTGGACGGGCATGCGTTAGGCTAGGTATCCACCTGAATGATGTTGATGGGGCTTGCTGGTAGTCTCGGAGGCCCCTAGTCTCCGCGCTGGGCCCCTGGCCCCCATCATGTTCTTGGAGCACGCGACTGGGAGGATGGTGGTTTTCAGCGATTACTATCCGATGTGTCCAGGGACTTCGGCGCCCAAGAGCTGCACGCGTGCGTTCTGAGATTCTGGACCTTTGGGTTCGTCTTTGGGAAGTCCAGGACCGAAGGGGTGGCGATGTAGATCTACCCCGCGGGCTCCCAAGTCAGCGCCCCACACCCCACGGCGATTGAGAATGGCCCTTGAATGGAGCTGTCGACGCTCGTGCTTGGGAAGCGGCTCGTAAAGCGGCCGCCCCTGAGCAGTTGAAGGCCATCATTTAAGAACCGAATAAGTTGGGTCGAGCAGTTTTGACGTGAATTTGCTGCGCAATGCCCGCGCGAG